GCTGGAGGAGACTCTTGAGAGTCCCCTGGACTGCAAAGAGAACAAACCTATCCATTTTGAAGGAAATCAAACCCTGAGGCTGAGGCTCCAATACTTTGGCCATCTCATGAGAAGAGAAGACTCCCTGGAAAAGATCCTGATGTTGGGAAACTGTGAGGGCAAGAGGAGAAGGAGATGACAGAGGATAAGATGGTTGGACAGTGTCATCGAAGCTACCAACATGAGCCTGACCAAACTCTGGGAGGCAGTGGAAGACGGCGGGGCTGGCATGCTCTGGTCCATGGGGTCACAAAGAGTCGGACACGACTTAATGACTAAACAACAACAAAAATGTTTGGGATTAGTAAAAACATTCAGAGGTTCCTCAAAAAAAAAATACATGGAAAAATGGAAAACCGTCTTAATGGCCCATTGTGAACAATTTTAAAAGAAATTAAACAGCTGGAAAAATAAACCACTACATGGACAGCACCTAATAAATATTGATAGAAAGCATGATCATTATTCAACATGGGCATGGCTAAAACTGGGGACCCTTAAGAAGGAAACCAAAGGCTTGACTTTTTCCTGCACAAGAACAATCACTCCAAACCAACGTGATAAAAGCTAAGATCCAAGGAATTAGTGCTAACAGCAAATGTTGACTCTGCCAAGAAAAAATTAAACTATGTCACACCTCATAAGCAAATGTCCAAAGATTGCACAAACAGATCACAAAATTAGACATGATAGGGTGGTAAAATTAGTGCACTGGTCATTATGTTAAAAATTATAACTTGCTAGCCTCCAAAAACCCATGGGAACATCAGGTAGAGAAGGTATCAGAAAATGAGGAAGTCAAGATCTTGTGGGATTTCCGGATCGAGACGGATAGACACCTTGAACATAGTACACCAGACATAGTGGTAATAGAATGAAGAAATTTCTGGATCATTGACATTGCAATTCTGGGGAATGCCAGAGTTGAAAATAAAGAACTGGAAAAACTAACAAAGTACAGAGACCTGGCAATTGAAACATCTCACTTCTGGAAGAAACACACTTCTGTGTTCCCCGTAGTCATTGGGGCTTTGGGGACAATATCAAGAAATTTGACACAGTACTATAAGCAGTTGCAGATCTCAGAAATCACCATCAGAGCTACAAAAATGGCAATATTAGGAACAGCATATATACTGTGCTGATATTTAACAGATACTTAGGTTTTTGGTTAAAACTTGTATCTGTTATATAATATCAATCAATGTTTTTTATAATTCTGACTGTGCCTGGTGTTTTTGAATGATGATGATGATGATGATCCCATCAAGTCAATTCTGACTTATAGCAACCTTCTTAGCTAGTGATTACTCAGAAGTGGTTAACCATTCCCTTCTTCTGTGGGGCACCTTGGACCATACAGCTTGCCCAAGGCTACACAGACTGGGAGGCACAGTGGGGAACTGTACTCCCAGCTTCTCACTCTGTAGCCAAATACTGAACTCACTGAATTATCCAACCCCTAAAAGTCATTATGACTTTTTTGTCATCATCTAGTGATTGGATTTGTTATTTTCCTATACTGAACTAAGCTGCATGACCCAATCGCCTCCTCCAGCACCACTGGTAGGCTCCCTTCAGGCAGGGGACAAGGCGGCGATGTGAGCTGGAGGTGAGCCCCAGCAGTGGTGCTCGAGGAGGCGATCGGACAGCGGAGGCAGCAGTCAATGGGCAGCCATGAGAGACGGCTGAACGCAGCTGCTCCTTCTCCTCCACCTCCTTCCCTGTTTAAAACAACCTTCAATTTTTCCTCTAATTATTTTAGGAAAAAAATGTTCTATACACGGAAAAATACGGTAATGTAGGTTGCAAGTTGGTTTTACAATCTATACACGGTAATGTAGGTTGCAAGTTGGTTTTACAAGAATTTAGTGAACCGAAGATCTGCATTTTTCCTATGGATGTGATTGTAGTTATTCCTCTTTTGTCTTTCAGGTACTGTAAAGTGAAACCTCCTTCAATCTATTGACAAAGCTATTGGTGAGACAGTACTGTCTGTCCAGCCCAGGAACTGGCTGAGTGAAGAAAGTTCAGCAACAGGTGAGAGGAGAAGTAGGCACTGGAGGAATACCTCTATTCTTCCTCTCATAATCATTTTTGAACCTTTTATGTATTTTGGCCACATGATATGTTTTGTGAATTGTTTGTATATTTTTGAACTGTATTTTGTATGTTTTAGCCATG